CGAAGAGGAAGAGGAAGAGGAAGAGGAAGACGAAGAGGAAGACGAAGAAGAAGAAGAAGAGGAAGACGAAGACGAAGAAGAGGAAGAGGAAGACGAAGAAGAGGAAGAGGAAGACGAAGAAGAAGACGAAGAAGAAGAAGAAGAAGAAGAAGAAGAAGAAGAAGAAGAAGAAGAAGAAGAAGAAGAAGAAGAAGAAGAAGAAGATGAAGAAGACGAAGAAGACGAAGAAGAAGAAGAAGAAGAAGAAGAAGAAGAAGACGAAGAAGACGAAGAAGAAGAAGAAGACGAAGAAGAAGAAGAAGAAGAAGAAGAAGAAGAAGAAGAAGAAGAAGAAGAAGAAGAAGACATGTACATGCTGATTTTTGTGGTGAAAAATCGACATTTAAATGTCGATTTTTCGGCGTACATGCTGATTTTGTGGTGAATAATCGACATTTAAATGTCAATTTTTCGGCAAAAATCTAGATGTTGATTTTTGTGACAAAAATCGACATCTAGAGTTGATGTCGATTTTTTGCTAAAAAATCAACAATAAATGTCGAATTCTTTGGCAAAATTCGACATGTCAATGTCGAATTTTGACTGTGTGAATTTTCTTTTTGAAAACTTAAAAATCGATCACCTAACTATAAAAATACATCATTCATAGTTTGTTTTCTATTTTTCTATAGAATTCTCCATAATGATGTCTCGTGACTCCATAATGTTATCATTTGCATGTTTTAGTAAGATTTTATGGTTTTGAGTGTTGAGGATTTTTGGAGAAGATGATTTTTTTTTTTTTTTGAAGAATTTGTGTGAAATGGGTTTGTGAGGAAGATGAAATGAGTTTTGCTTGGGTGGTCTTGCACAAAGGAAGTTGTGGAATTTTGTAATTGTGGATTTTGTATTTTAGTGAGGTATAATAGTCTTTTAGTAATTCATTTGGTGAAAAATTAGATTTGATATTCTCCTAAGTAATTTTGCGATTGCATATAGTCACCGCCTTCAATTAATTGGAATCTAAAAATTCATTTCAATTACTATAGGTACAAAAATTTCAAACTTTTGGAAATCAAATAAGTTTTAAAATTTCAAAACTTAGGGGAATGTTTTTTAAAATTTCATAAATTTCCAGAAATAAGAATATTCGAGTCGATAAAAGTAAAGCTAATAAATACCAAATTTCAGTTCAAAAAAATAAATAAAAATAAACAACATCATAATATCTAATAATTTTTTTAACAACAGTTCAATATGTCAAAATCCTAAAACAAAACTTAAATCAAATTAGTGTTTCAGAAAACAAGAAAAATCTTAAAATAAGTATTGTATAGTATAAATTATTTATAGGTTTATTTTTCGGAAGAAAATCGGAAATTTTCAGAATTAAGTTTGGAAATTAAATCGGATCGAAAATCGGAAATTACAATTTTCTTATATAATTCCAATTCCAACATAAAAAAAAGGGAAAAATTCAGAAATCGGAATTTCAGAAGTCTGAATGAAAGAAAAATGTTCCAAAATCATAACTTTTCGGACTTCTTATACACTCTACTGTTGTTACATTTTAACACATTGAGTCCCTCCGTCCGTTTGACCATAAATAAGTAATAGTCAACGAGACTGAATTTGGGATTTTTCTTTGAGAAAATTGCAGTAAGACCCCTGTATTCTTTCAAAATATTCAAAAGACCCCTAAAATTTTATCCAACCCTAACTTAACCCCAATTTTATGAATTAACAAATTTAACCAACGACCCCGATTTTTCAAATCGGTTAATCCGAATTTGACTTTGTTTTTAACTGGGTTGACCCTTTTTTCGATTGATTTTTTTTTTTTGCCGTTGTTAGCCGATGGTGTATGTCAAGTTAACTACGTTGACTTTTTTTCTTGAAGTTTATTTTATTTTTATTTAAATTATTGAGTAGCGGGAAAAAATATTTAAAAAAGAAAATGTCAAAGCCGATAACCGATGGGAAAAATAATATCATAAAAAAAGTCAAAATAAAAGAAAAGGGAAAAAATCAACGCAGCTCAACGATAGGAAAAAAAAATCAAGGCCGGTGTTAGGTCCAAACATCGCTGTACTAGAGTGGTTATCTTAT